ACCCCTCCGGGGCGACCTGCGCGCGTCGCGGGGGCTCCGCGCTGCGCTGCGCCCGCAGCCTTGGACTTTTGAGTTCGCGGGCAAAGAGGGGGTAAAAGAAGGGGGGGAAGCGGGCGCGATCCTCGCGGGGGGGCGCGCCGACATTGGCGTCGCGGCGCGCGGGCGACGCCGTCGGGGAGTCCCGGGAAGCTCCTTGCGGCGGCCACGCCCAGCGTCACGAGTACTCAGAGGCAGTCATTCTCAAACTATTGACATTCATATACAATTACACCATGCGTTGTTATACTCGTACTCATGCACGTAGACTCGCTCGCGCGCAGATTCATTCACAGTCAGACGCGCTCGCGCTCATATTCACCCGCGCTCAATCTCCCTACGTACTCAGATCAATCGTTTTCGTTCGCGTTGTGTACCACGCCACTCATGTCGGCACGCCCATAGCACGGTTCGTTGCCTCATAGGGATCACCACCGAAAGGGTGAATCACAATTGCGGTACTCTCACCTGCAGATGGTTGAGCCATTCGTCGGTTTTTTGTGTTATATGTATAGACATATATATATACATATATATAGATATACACAAAATAATTGTTCGACCACGGCTGGCGGCTTCAAGCCTGGCTCTCTTGGCATCGGTGGGAACATCACCATAATCGGTCCCTGTCCCGGCCATGCGGGGCCATCTCCTTGCACATCCTCTTCGCACCGCCTTCGACCCTTTGGCCCGCATGGCCGCGCCGCGTGTGAAAACACCTCCCGTGGCACTTCAGATTCGCTCGCGCCGCATCCGTAATCGCGATCATGCCGAACGTGCCGAAACATAATATCATGCCCTGTCAGGGTCTCCTCCAGCTCGATCGCTCGTGCTTGCAATGTTCTCTATTTCTTAGCTGTACTCATCTCGCCGATGATCTTGCAATCCTTTGCGGGCAACTCGCTGATACGATCACCAGGTCTCTTCATTATGCTGAAAGCATACTTCAGCATTGCATGCTCTGGGCTCTAATCCTTGCAATGTTAGAATCAAGCTCCGTCCTCTGTTGTGATTCAATTGCCTCCGCATGCGTCATCACTCTGCTCGGAAATAGGAATTCGCATGCATGCCGATGGCCCCTATCCAAGGGTGGACTCTCCCATTTTGCATTCTGGTTTACGGGGTAGCCACCTTGGGGTCAACAGCACACGTGTCGTCAATGACCATCTGGAGATTCTTCCCGATAGGACCTGACTCAGTGTGTCTCCCTCTTGCAGCATGGTGTTGATTTTGACCTGCTTTGTACTGCTGCGGTTGCTGAGACTTCCACGTGCCGTACGACTGTTGCCTTTGACTCCACGAGGCTCCATATCGCCACGTGCCAACATTATTGGGATGACGATCGCCACACTCGGCACACTGCCACTGCTGCTTCGGGGCCGCCATCTGCCTCGAATGGTGACTGTTGAACAGGGTCCTTGCAGCGGCCACCCTTAGCAAGGCACGTGCGTTCTCCCTGGCTTGGTGGCCCCTCCTGTGCCAAGCGTTCTCGCCTTCCCGAGGCGTCCTCGCCTCGGCGGTCGCGGCCTCCGCCGCGGAGCGCGGCCGCGGGTCCCGCGGCACGGGGCAGGGTACGGAGGCCCCCTGCCGCGGGATATGGTGGCACGAGAGAGCCCCGCCGGCGCTGGCAAGCCTCCCGATGACGCGCTGCCGGCTCGAGCGCGCGGTTGCTTCCCCCCTCCTCCTCCTCCTCCTTTTCCTCCTCCTCCTCCTCCTCCTCCTCCTCCTCCTCCTCATTCCTCCTCCTCCTCCGCCTCCCCCCTCCTCCTCATCCTCCTCCTCCTCCTTCTCCTCCTCCTCCTCCCTCCGCTTCCTCCTCCTCCTCCTCCTCCTCTCGTCCTCCTCCTCCTCCTCCTCCTCCTCCTCCCCCTCCTCCTCCTCCCTCCTCCCTGTGCCTCCCTCTCCTCCCCCTGCCATTCCTCTTCATCCTCCGCTTTTTCTTGTAAGCTAGTTTTGGTGAGGGGTGTCCGCCGAATCCATTTCTCATACGTGAGTAATCCCATCCTTCTGTGGTCGGTTCGCACAAGAAAAAACACCTGCATAACCATATGAAGCCTTTCGGAGGCCCGCGCGGATTTCTTATATCGGAACTGGACTCCCTGGCAGCGCATCAGACCCCGCCCCTGGCGCGCTCCGCGCGCCAACAGGGGGGTCCAACGCCGATCAAGAGATCCGCGCGGACCTCCAAACATCACGTTTGTGCAGACGTTATTTCTTCGAGTCAAGCAAAGTTCCCCGTCCTCCTCCTCCTCCTCCTCCTCCTCCTCCTCCTCCTCCTCCTCAGCCGCCGCCCCTTCCTCTTGCTTCTGGGCCTCCTCCTGAGATCAACCTTTGGTCAAGGGGAGGTCCCTCGAATCCCATCCTTCTGGGATCGGTCCAAGGTTCCCCGCCCCCGCAGGCCGCCGAAACCGCGCGCCTCGCGCTCCGCGGAATCGATGCTGCTTTCACGCGCGCTCACGCCGCCCCCACCCACCCGTTGGCGGAGGCCGGCTCTCTGGACAAGGCGGCGATGCGCGACGCGCGGCTATCTTCGCGCGGCCCAGGGGGAAAGCTGCGCAGGTTGTGCGCGAAACGTGGTCTCAAGATCGCGGATTATAGGAGGCCTGGAAATGGGCACCAACACCAACACAGGGGGTTGCCTGCACAGGGGGAAGATTATCCTAGATTTTGGTGTTGGTGGTAATATGTCGGCCGCCTAGAAGCCAGAAAATTACCACTATCGCGGCGATTGGGATACTCTTCCCTTGGTGGAGGCACAACGCCGATATTGGTGTTGGAATCAACCTCTAGGCCTCCGACGTACGCGAAACATGGCCACAAGATCGCGGGTTGAAAACACAGAGCCCCGTCGCCGAAGGCCACAAGCTCCATGCAGATACCCCACAAAGCATCCGCCGCCGTGCCTGCACGTAGCGGGCGTGTCAGAATGCTCTCTGTTGACTGCTGAGGTGTTTTACAACAGTGATGTGTAAAACCGACCCTAACGCGCAACCGCTGATCGAAACTCGCCCCCGCCCCCCCCTCAGCGGGACCGACTTTGGACGATGTTCCGCACGAGCGACACACAAACACACACGCCCACACAAACTCAAACACACAACCACACAACAACACAAACACAAGCACACACAAACACAAACACACACACACAAGCACACAACCACACAACCTCACAAACACACAAAGACACACACAAACACACAACACACAAACACACAAACACACACACACACACTCACACACAAGCACACAAACACAAAAACACATAAACACACAAACGCACACAACACACAAACGCACACAAACACACATGCAAACACACACACACAAGCACACACACAAACACACACAAGCACACAGTCACACGCAGACACAAAGACACACACACAAACACACAAAAAACACAAACACACAAGAGAACATACACACACACACATCCGCAAACGCACAAACACACAAGCACACAAGCACACAAGCACAACTACACAGACACACACACAAACACAAACACAACCACACACAACCACACAAACACACACCAACACGCAAACACACACAGACACACACAAACCCAAACACACACACCAGCACACAAACCCACGCACAAACACACACGCACATAACCACACACGCACAAGAACACACAAACACACATACACACAAACACACATACACAACCACACACGCAAACACACACACACAGAAACACACAACCACACGAACACAAACCACACACAACCACACAAACCCACAAACCCACAAACACACACACAAACACACACTCTGCCACACAAACACACACACACAAAACCACAAACACAAACAAAACACACAAACACAGAAGCAAACAAGCGAACAAACACACAAACACAACAACACACAAACACACAGCCACATACACAAACACACAAACACACACACACACAAACACACAAACACACACACACACACGCACACGCACACGCACACGCACACGCACACACACAATACAAGGCCGAACACAGCCACTCCCCACCCCCCTGAGGTCAACGCAAGCGCCCCCGAAGGGCGCCCAAGAGACCCCCCAAGCGGCCCCTGCGAGGCCCCAGGAAGCACCCAAGACAACGCAAGAGGCCCTGAAGACCGCCAAGGGGCCCTCAAGATGTCCCAGAAGGCCTCCAAGAGGCCTCCACGGCACTCCAGGAGACCCCCAAGAGTCGCCAAGAGGCGCCAAAAGCAACCTAAGAAGCCTTCGACAGACTCCGAGAGACACCCCAAGAGAATCCGGGATGCATCCCAGACGACTCTGGCCCACGGACGCCCCCCGAACTCTCCACTCGACGCCACGCTCCCTCGATAAGACCAGCTCCCCTGGACACCGTTCCTGAATAGGCTAGTGGGGATTCTTTTTTGTTCGCGAGCGTCGCGGTCCAACCGCGCGCCGTCCAGAAACGAGGCAGCCGCGCCAAGCTCTAAATTAGGCACTAAGCACGCAAGAGCGAACTACGCTGCGGCTCAGATCAGGCTGGTGGGGATTCGCGAACCGCTAAGAATTTAAACTCCTTCCTGCTACGCTGTTCCACTGGCGCGGTGGCGGGGCTGGCCGTAGGCAACTGGATAGCATTCCAAGGCTGAGAGCCCGCACGCAACGAGCACAAGGGTAGATAGCTTTCCAAAACTGAAATCGTTATCAACCCTCGGGCTATCAGTAGGGGTCCACGGATGTGTAACACCGATGTAACCCTCAAACAAAGCTCAAACAAAGCTCAAACAGAGCTCAAACAGAGCTCAACCAAAGCTCAAACAAAGCTTAAACCGAGCTCAAACAAAGCTCAAACAAAGCTCAAACAAAGCTCAAACAAAGCTCAAACAAAGCCCAAACAACGCCCAAACAAAGCCCAAACAAAGCCCACACAAAACTCAAGCAGAACTCAAACAAAGCTGCAATCCGCTTCTGGGGTGGTCAAGGTTTGATGCCTCCGAGCCTTGTGTCGGTCAAGGAACCCCACCGCCTCGCTCAGGTTCCACGGCGTGTAATTGTGGACCCCTCGGATGGTGAGGCACTTGCGAACGATGGTCTCCCCGGTGAGGGTGGAAAGCTGCGAGTCAGGGTGGACCATACGTAGGGGGAGGAGGAGGAGGAGGAGGAGGAGGAGGAGGAGGAGGAGGAGGAGGAGGAAGAAACGGTCGGGGAGGGAGCGGGGGGGGGGGGAATGGAGGACGAGGAGCAGCACGGGCAGGATATATGGGAAGGGGGGGACAAAGGAGGAGGAGGAGGAGGGGGAGGAGGAGGAGGGAAGAGGAGGAAGAGGAGGATGATGAGGACGTGGCGAAGGAGGAAGGATGAGGAAGGAAGGTCGGCCATGCCGCAAAAAGCGTAATGCCCGCCGTTCCTCAACAAGTCCACGCCCTCTGTCAGAACCGACCTCTGGGGGCGCTGTGACGACTCCCATTTCGCCAATCCTGTTTCCCGCTCCCTGAATTACATCCTCCTCCTCCTCCTCTTCCTCTTCCTCCTCCTCCTTCCGTCCTCCTTCCGTCCTCCTCCTCCTCCTCCTCCTCCTCCCCCTCCTCCTCATCATCACCATCACCTCACCATCACCATCACCATCACCATCATCATCACCATCATCATCATCATCATCATCATCATCATCATCATCATCATCATCATCATCATCATCATCATCATCATCATCATCATCAGGATCAGGATCATGATCATCATCATCATCACCATCACCATCATCATCACCATCACCATCACCATCACCATCATCATCACCATCATCATTATCATCACCATCATCATGATCATCATCATCATCGTCATCATCATCATCATCATCATCATCATCATCATCATCATCATCATCATCATCATCATCATCATCATCATCATCATCATCATCCTCTTCCTCTTCCTCCTCCCCCTCCTCCTCGTCCTCCTCCTCCTCCTCTCTTTCTCCTCCTCCTCCTCCTCCTCGTCCTCTTCCCTCTTTTTCCCTCCTCCTCCTTCGCCTCCGTTCCGTCCTCCGTCCTCCGTCCTCCGTCCTCCTCCTCCTCCTCCCCTCCTCCTCCTCCTCCCCCCTCCCTTTCTCTTTTTCCTCCTCCTCCTCCTCCTCCTCCTCCTCCTCCTGCTCCTCCCCTCCTGCTCCTCCTCCTCCTCCTCCTCCTCCTCCTCCTCCTCCTCCTCCTCCTCCTCCTCCTCCTCCTCCTCTCCTCCTCCTGCCACCCCGCTCCTCCTCCCTCCTCCATCCCTGTCTCGTCCCCCATCCAGTCGTCCTGGCGCACGTCTCGTGCATGTCCCCTGCAAATGTTGGCGCTAAGTATTTTTTTATGGCGGCATGGCGTCAACGGGCCAGCTGGCTCGGCGTAGTCCGTGTCTCGGCCCCGCACGGCCCCCTTGCGCGCTCATGGTGACTCGTCGTCCTGGCCTCGGCGCAGCGAAACCGACGCGGTACAGCAACAACGGGGCGACAGGATCGCGCACGAGTGGCCACGCAGCCGCACCAACCGCAAGGAGACAAACAACAAAAAACGGAAGAACGGTCGCCCCATGGCCAAGTACACGATGTGCGTGTGCAACAGAGGACGGGGGCAGGTTTCGTTGCCGAGAGCAGCGCGGCGAAAGCCTCAGTCAAACCGTCGCTCCCGAGCTCCCTGGAGCAGAGGGCGCGTGGTGAACGCTCTTTCCGCCTGGCGCGTCTGCACCTCCTGCTCCTCGCGGCCTCGCCAGCGGACGTTTTCCAGGCAGCGGCGGCGGCAGATGAGCCTTCAAGATGCCCAGGATGGCCCCAAAACGGCCAAAGAGGCCCCAAAAAGGTTCAAGAGGCCCCCCCAAAAGGCCCCGAGATACCAAAATAATTGTGTTCCCATCGGTTCAAAGGAGGAAGGATGTTCGATTTCTCGCGTTTTCCGGCCTTAGACGCTCGAGAACGACCCCAATCAACATCGCCCCAGGACGGCCCAAGAGGCGAGCGCGCATCGGGACCCAATCCTGCCGGGCTAATGGAAATGCGCGGGCAAGACGAAAGGTCATGTGCCAAGAGGTCGAACAATTTCTTCCACATCCGCTTCGTTGTCCCTCGGAGTGATGGCGACACATTCGCTAGACCCTCCATTGTATCCCCGCCCTTCTTTGCCTGCTCCTCCCAGGGTTCTCGTGACTCAGTCACCATGAGAACGGGGCCCTAATGCGCCACAGTAAATGTGAACGTTGTGCCGAACAACTGTTTGACATTTGCGGCTGCGACCGCAGGCGGGCACATCAACGGCGTAAGGCCCACGATCTGCGCTCACACAATCGACGCGAACCCGGGATGGATCGCGGAGAGCTCCGGCGCGCCACGGGGTTCGTCCTCGTCGTGGGCGGCGGCGCGGCCGGGGTCATTGTAGGTCTCGTTGATGTTCTTGTTTAGGCAAATGCGCACCCTTCCCGTCACCGGTCATGGCGGATGGGCTGGTGCTACCCCAACGGACCGGGAATAGGTGCGCGAAAGCGAGAAGTGAACAGCGGGATGCGCATCGAGGAGCAAAAACGGCACGAACAGCGGCGGAGGGGTGGAGCCGCGGCCATCGAGGCGCGGCAAGACAAGGCGGCCGTGGTATCGGAGCCGCAGCTCCGCTACCAACTTGAGAAGCGATGTAAGAATATCTGATTGAAGAAATGGGTCTTGCAGTGAAAGCCGGAGAAAAGGTTAACAGCAATGAACAGTTGACCACCGGGCGTGGTACCTGGCCAACCTGTGCATGGCCGGGGAAGGGGCCGGCAAGGGTGGGGTTCGACAAGCGGGGCAGGGGGGGACTGGACAGACAAGGTACCGCTCGGGCATGAGGGGGGGAGGAGGGCAAGGCAACTGAAAAAGGAAACGCGACGCCCCTTTCTCCCTTCTCCTCCTCCTCCTCCTCTAACCGCGACCCTGGCACCCATCCCTCGTTAGGATGGGTGGCCGCCGGGGTCAGGCGTGTGAGGGCGCCGTCCAGTGATTTACACCCCGACGGCCTGCGGGCAACGGCCCCTGACCCAGACCATGGGAAAGGACATAAAACACTGAACGCGCCGCACATTTGCGGGCGGCCCGAGTGGGGGAAGGAGGAGACGGGGGGCGGGGGGCAGGGGGCGGTCGTCGTGTCGTCACGGCGCTGGTGTGGCTGCCATCTCCTCCTCCACAGCCTCCCCCTCCACCTCCACCGCCTCCTCAACCCTCCTCCTCCTCCTCAGCCTCCTCCTCCCGCTCCCCTGTCGCTCCTCTTCTTCCTCCTCCTCCTCAACCCTCCTCCTCCTCCTCAACCCTCCTCCTCCTGCTCCTCCTCGTCCTCTTCTTCCTCCTCCTACATACCCTCTCTCGTGCTTCTTCTTCTCTTCCTCCCCCTCCTCACCTTCCTCCCCTCCTCCTCGCACACCCTCCTGGTCGACCGCGCCCCCGTCATCTCCACCACGACGTCTACGCCCGAAGGGCACCACGCCCGAATCTGCTTGGCCCGCTCGAGCGCGGCGTCCTCAGCAGGGAGAGGAGGGGGGAAGGATGAGGAGGAAAGGAAGGGGAGGGGGGATGAGGGGGAGGAGGAAGAGGACGATGAGGGCGAGGGGTGGAAGGGGGAGAACGGGAGGGGGGAGGGGGGGGGAACGGGGCACCATGAGGGGCAACCAGAGGAGGAAGGGGGGACGAGGAGGAATATGATAAGCAAGGGTGATAATGAGATGCAAGACGGGGTGGAGGAACCAGAGGATGATGGAAGAACGATGCGGATCAAAACGATCCCGAGGAGGGAGGACAGGGAGCGAGAACAGGGAGAACAGGGCGAGGAAGGCGCACGAGTATGATGATGAGGAGGACGAGCAGGAGAGGTAGTACAAGGGTGTCGGCGATGAGGCCCTCCTCATCTGGGCTGTCCACCAGCATCGGGATGGCCCCGAATTGCGCCGCGGTCTGCAAGCGCTCCTAAAGGGAGGAGGAAGGAAAGACAGATGACGAGGATGGAGGGGAACGAGGGGGAGGAGGCAAATAATAAGGAAGGAATCGAAGGGTGAGGAGAAGGAAGGGATCGGGGGAAGGATGACCAGGACGACGACGATCTGGATTTTGATGATAATGAGGAGGGACGAGATGTGAAGGAGGATAAGGAAATAATGGAAGAAGGAATAGGATCATGAAAGCGGGAGGGACGACGAGACGAGACGAGTGACGAAGACATCCTGGCTGACGTCCAGGCAGAATACGTGATCCATGCCCACTTGCTTCTTGAGCCAAGCCACGGCGTAGATGCCCAGCAACCCGGCTCCCTGAACCACTGCGCTGTTGTTGGACCCGAATCTAGGCAGTCTGGCCACGCTGGGGGAGCCAGATAAAGCATGGCACCCCATTCGGGGGCGCGCAAACATGGATTAGCGATCCATGGATTTGTCGCGCGGTCGCCAAATCCATGGATTTGGGGAGGTGCCCTCCCCAAAATGCGGCCGGTGCCGCCTCGTCCGGCGGCGGACATCCGCGATTTCCCCTGGAAACGGGACCCGTCGCTAATCCACAATCCATGCTTGCGATCGTCTGACCCATCGACCCCTGAAGGATGAGGAGCGCTGTGGTCCCCCCACGCCCCTTGCCTCCACCAACCCTTTCACCTTCAATCCCCGAAGCCTCCAATTTCACTTCCGCCTCCCCTCTCTTCCCTCCAAGAGGCGACTTTGCGGACTCCGACGCGGGGACCGTGATTTACTCCACCCCTTTCTTTAACATATGACCTCCCGTATTGCCCCCAAGACCTGAAAGAGGAAAAGTACCCCAAGTGGACCCCACTTGCCTCAAACATGGCATCAATATCGCCCGCGTCAGCTGCCAGGAGGATCCCATATCAAAAGGACCGCGAAGGCATTTGTGGCTCACTACTGGAGCTGCTCCAGCTGATCCCGATATTCGGATTGACGGCTGCACCCCCCTCGTTGTCCCTCTGAATGGCCCTGAACATCCATATTCGCAGCAACTTGCCAGGGCATCGCTTCTGGGTGGGCTGGTGGGGATACTCGAGGCATCAAGCATTTGCATCGAAGGGCAAGTGGGAATGCATATGCCTTTGAAGACTTCTGTGTTGCAAGGCTTGAGAACGCGATGAAGTTCAAAGGATGTAGTCGTGCGCGCGGATACGCACGCGCGTGGCCCGCGTGATACCATAGTCGTGGCGCGTGGCCCGCGCCCGGTTGTTGGTCGCATGGTCTCTTGTGACAGCAGGGTAATTCGGTGTTGACTTTGGTGTGGTTTCAACGAGCGGGCGCCCATGAATCTGGTATACGAGATGTCAAACAGAACTAGCTTCATGGATGCTGCTCGACACTCCGTGAACACACGTGCGCGCGCCTGGTCAGTCTGGTATTAGTCGGTAAGGGTCCTGACGCAACGCAAGTGACAGAACAACGCGTGTGCACCGTATTGCATTGCTTGACCTGGATGGGATGGGATCGATAACGCGTCGGTCAGCATTGCATTGTTTGAGATGGAAAAGCAGCGCAACACAATCACGGGCGCGAACTACTTGCAAGCGAAATGATACGTCCGCCCTCGGGAGGGTGTACGTGCTACTCCTGTTCAGATCCACGAATCGTTGCCAGCGTGGGCCCCGAACAGCGGTGTGAGCTATGAGGCGTAGACTATGTGGTGTGATTTATGTGGCACAGGCGATGTTCTGTCCGCTATGGTGTCTGAGCTGTCTTGTGTAAGCTATGCAATACCAGCCATGTGGTGTGAACTATGTTGTGCCAGCTACGCGGTGTGCCCCTATGTGGTGCCAGGTAGGTCGTAGAGATTATGCGGCAATGTGGTGTAAACTATGCGGTGTGAGCTACGCTGTGCAAGCCGCGCAATGTACACAGTGCGCCCGCGAGGCCCCAAATAGCGCCCACCGGGCGGGACCGTGGCGAAAACCTCGGACGACCCATCCAGGGCACGAGGCGCCCACCAGGCGCCCACGGGCGGGAACGTGGCCGAAACCTCGGCGAGCGAACCCACTTGCTGAGACAGGTAAGGAATACTTCCTAAAAGCAAGCGCTGTTTGACGTACTGCGCCGCGCCTACGGGTGCCCACCGTGCGAAACCCCGACGGACCCCGCCAGCGCGCGGGGCGCCCACGAGACGCCCACCAGGGGAAACCCCGACGGACCCCGCCAGAGCGCAGGGCGCCCACGAGAGCCACCAGGCGAAACCCCGACGGACCCAGCCAGCGCACAGGGTGCCGGCGGGTGCCCACAAGGCGAACCTCCGACGCACCACGCCACTTACTTAGGAGCAACAAGTAGGACCCCCTAAATGGACACACTGTTTGGGGAGTGGGGCTCTCGCCATAGCGCCGTGCGCTTCCGTCGTAAGAAATGTTGCAACCGTTACATCGGTGGAAGGCGGTCCCACTTCAAGATGAGGCTCTCGCCCTAGTGCGAGTGCTCAATCGCCTTCAAAGCTCGCAGTAGTTTTAGGTCGGGCATGTCCCCCTACAGAAGGATTTCGGACGACAAATTTAAAACTACCCCCATCATGCTCCAACAGTGCTCAAACATAGTCAAAACATCGTCCCCAGACCATGTTTTTGTTGACTATGTCTGAATAGTTCTGTTTGAATAGTTCTCCTGTACAGGGACAGGCCCGACGTCACAATACACTCGACCAAGATAGTATGCGCGGTACGGATGCAAGGGCCTTGGAACGCCATGCTGACGTTTTCCGTGCGGAGCGCAGCCGAATACCGAAGGATGACGGATACCGAAGGGGCAAGGATGCGAGGGGAAGCCTTGGAAAGTTGCCCCATCCTTACTATCATGGTTGAGTGTGGTTCTAAGAATGGGAGACGGCTTAATTATGTTCAGCAGGTCCCCCGCGCGAGCCGTCCACAGGCCTAGCGACAATAGGCTCGACCACGCACATATCTATATATACATACACACATATATATATATATATATATATATATATATATATATATATATATATTCGTATGTTTGAATATATGTGTATATATGTATTTAGCAGCTGCACGGGTGGAGGGCGGCTGTTTTCATGCATCCTATTCTCAAGGGGCCCAAGGACACACACAAATACACACACATCCCAGGATTCCCAATCTTTTATCACACTTTCTGGTTATTAGTCTTCCCTCCGCCTCATTGAGCTTCATGACGACGTCCCTTTGCATCCCTTACCGTCTGCTAGAAAGACGCAACACGCTTCCTGATCAACTCGGGACTCTCGCCTGAATGGCACACCCGTCTGGTGCTCGTCTTTCACGGGGGCACTTCATGGAGTGAGCATGAGAACTTGTAGGGAATCGTGAAGGGGGTCTTGGGGCTTGACGGTGTGCTCCACACCGTTGGTGCATCCTGAATTTACTCTGGTCCCTCTTCCTCCTCCTCCTCCTCCTCCTCCTCCTCCTCTGGCCAGAGTTCGTTCAAAAACTAATCCCCTGACCCCTCCTGACATTCATCCTTGTACCTTGTTTGAGCTGCGTCTAATCGCGGCGACCAGAGGGCCCCTCGAAAGCCCTTCCTCCCCCCCCTCCCCTCTCCCGCTCCGCCGAAGGCCCTCCGAAGGCCGTCTCCCTTCTCCCTTCTCTCCCCCTTCTCCCTTCTCGCCCTTCTCTCCCTCTCTCCCTTATCTCCCCCTCCTCCCCCCTCCCCCTCTCCCCCCGAAGGCCCTGCCCCCCCCCCTCCGCCGGGGGGCCACCGCCCCTCCGGCTCCCCGCAGATGTCCAGAGAATTCACGACGGTGGCCAGCGCGCAGTTCGCGGGCGAGGCCACCCGGGACGGCAGGCCCCCGGGCAGCTGCACCACGTGGGTGCCGCGGCGCAGCAGGACGGGGGCTGGAGGCTCGGAAATTGGCACCAACACCAACACAGGGCGTTGCCTCCACCAGGGGAAGATGATCCCAGATTTCGGTGCTGGTGGTCATCTTTCGGCCGCCTGGGAAGCCAGAATATTACCAGCATCGCCGAGGTTGGGATACTCTCCCCTCGGTGGAGGCACAACGCCGATATTGGTGTTGGTGTCAACCTCTAGGCCTCCGAGGGGGGGGGGAGACGCCCGCCGCGGCCCCGCCGGTCCAGAGGAGGGGGGAGGGGGGGGGGAAGGAGGGGGGGAGTGCAGCCAGAGGCTTGCCGTGAAGAGCCTCGGGTGAGGAGCCCCGGGTGAAGAACCCTCTTTGTGGCCTCGGCCCCGCCGAAATGCACGAAGTTTGCGTCTGACATGGACAACCAAAGACCTCCGCATGGCGGGCAAATCGAAGAAGGCTCAGCCGCGATCCCCGATATTCTCGGATGGCGTCCCTTTGGAGCACGCAGGGGGAGGGGGGGAAAGGCCCCTCCTTCCTCCTCTCTCCTTCCTCCTCGTCCCCCTCCCTGCCCCTGGAGGGAAGAGGGAACGGGGGCGGGAGGGGGAGGAGTGGGGGGGGGTGATATTAACTCTGAGGAGGAACAGAGTGAGGAGGAGGAGGAGGAAACATCCCTCCCTGTTCTCGTACACCCTCCTCCCTCCTGCCACCTCATCATTCTTCTCCGCGTCCCTCCCTCCCTCCCTCCCTCCCTCCTTCCCCCCTCTCTCCTCCGCGTCCGCCTCTGCTTCCGCCTCCGCCATCGCCGCCGCCTCCGCCTCCGCCTGGCGCGAAGCCAAGAACGGAGTGTCCATGAACTCCGACTACTTGTGCACAACTTTGTGGGCTGCGGACAACATTGCGGCCTCGGCCTGGGGCGGAATGCCGGGTGGAGCCTTAAGCCTGCGGGAATTTGAAACGGTGGAGGGAGAGCTGGAACGACACGGCCATCACGGCGAAAGAGGCAAAGAAGAGCTGAGAAACCCGGAACGGGTGATGAGGCATGCTGGCAGGTTCCGCTTCAGAACGTTGCTGACTAAAGACTGAAAGGACTGACGCTTCAAGTAACGAGAGACCGAATCTGGGGCTGCGCAGCCCAAGCAACGAACATTCACGCAATCGACTTCATGGAAGCGGGGCCACGTGGGCCGACCCCCGCACAACCTCTTGACGCAAGTGTTGGCCCACGAGGAATGTATTCTGAGTTGCAGCCTGGATTTCAAACCAATGGAGGGAACTGATCAACTCACGCGCATCAGGGAAATACGTGTTCAGCCTGCGGGAAAGGGTGAGATGGAGGCACGAAGGAAAAAGTGAAGCGTGGAGCGAGGCATAGACGCGCCTCTGGTTCTGGCGGCAAGCTTCTGGATCCACGGCAACTTCATGGGCAATCTGAACGGCCTGAACACTAGCAGTCTTCCAAGTCGGGCGGTGGTTAAAACAGCCAGCGGCCTCCTGGAGAAACGAAGCAAGGGGCTCGGACTACCAGAAGGCTTCTTTCAGCACAAACCCACACTGTGTCACAACAGCGGGGCCAGTCAGGGGAAGTGCGAGCAGCACTGCGAAGAAGGGTAGCGAGACCCAGGGGAGGAGGAAGAGGAGGAGGAGGAAGAGGCTCTAGTACTCGGGGTATCCCTGGCCTTGCACGTGAAAATGATTTGAACGGGCATGGCCACAGTGTGCGACTGCAAACTGGCTGGCCAGGATCGCATGCTCTCTTCGACAGCTGGCGGCGCCCGCGCGCGTGCGTTGGCGGCGCTGCGTGCGCAGTGCTCGGTGACGGGCTCTGTCCCGATCCCGATCTGTTCGCCGACTGGTGGCCCGATCTTGGCCCCGAGGTGCGCGGGGGGCGGCGCAGCCTGGAAGTCCGCCCACTCGGGCACCCTCTCGCGGACCCAACTTTGGGCCCATTCGGCGGTGGACAAACCTCCCTTTATAGCGAATCTCCCTTTCGCGAAAACGGCCTAGGACCGAAACCGCCGGACCTGGACCCGCAAAAATGACGGCCGCGACGCCTTCTCGCGAACCAAAAACGGCCACTTCGCTGATCGACGTGTCAGGGTAGGAGGTCTGTCCACCCCCGAGCAACCTGGAAATCCGCTCATGGGCCTGGAGCAAACATCACACAAGCGGGGCTGCGACACACCTTGGAATCTCCAAGGGCAGGCCAGCTGCGCGGGCCGCGGCATGGAAGGCAACGACAAGTGCGGGACGCCACGCGGGCCGCGACGGACGACGCCACCAAAATCATCGGCGCAACGCCTGGTCATGCCACGGCTAAGCTTGGCGATCGCCTCTGCGGGGGTGTCCGTTGAGAGGCTGGAGTGCAAGGGCGACGACGATAGGGGCGAATAGCCCAGGGGCGGGCATTACACGCCATCGCCCGGGAGCGCGTTCGAAGACATAAATCATCGGCGCACCTGGATACATGTATTGCCCTCCCCTGGGCTATTCGCCCCTACCGTCGCCTCTGATGCAAGGGCGTCAAGGGGGCCCGAGGCAGGGCAGCCCTGCGCGATGCAAGACCCCGCGAAAAACAACGGGCAGAGCTCGGAGTTTGCCTGCCCGAGACAGCGGCCGACAACGTGGGGCCGGGGAGGAGGTGGGACGGCGGGGGAGTGTGAGCGCGACCGGGCTTGGAGAATGAGGAAATTCCAAGCGTGAGAGATGGAAGGGGAAGCCTCCCCAGAGTCGAAGGCAAGGAGGAGGGGGGCGATTCTTTGGCTCGGGGTCGAGGCCCGTCATCCTGGCGCGCGTCTGGCTCGAGGACGCTCGCCCCCAAGTTTCGAAATCGGGATGGGCCCCCTCCGGGTCGGGCCAATCTGTTCGGGCAGCGACGCGGCCAGGCTGCGGGCGCGCACGGCGGTCGCCATCTGGCGCTCGGCATCTTTCACAGCCGTCCGGACGCGTGGCACTAGGGAGGAGCGGACTGGGCCATCAACGTCGCCCGGCTGCTCTCCTCAAGTAAGAAAGACGCCGCGCACATCCTCAAAATTAAAGCACATTGAATACCGTTGAGGGGCCCAGTGCGTCTCTTCCGCCAGAATCCGAGGGCCTTCGGATTTGCACGAGGTGCCCGCCAGGGCCTGGGGCGCAAGAGGGGCGCCTTCGGAAACGTCGGCTCACGTCGTTCTCGGCGAGGGGCTGGGGTTTGGAGAGGTCGATGTGTTTTCTAGGAACTTCTGAATGTATCTCTTGGCGGTGGGCGCGTCAATGGGCTTCTCCCACAAAAGGCGCTACCCTAGACAGCTTTGCGAAGGTCGGGGAGAGCGCGGGGGGCGCTGCTCATTGGGTAGGCCCGCGCCCGCGGGGCGGGCGCGCGACGCCTTGCCCGCGTCGCCGCGCCCGGCGGGAGCGCGCGGGCGCAGCGACGCCCCGCAACCCGCACCAACCGCAGGAGCGGCGAAGGGTGAGGGGAAAGGAGAACGCCGCTACCGCGGCAAGCCGACGCGCGCGCTGAGCGCGCAGGCCTCGCGATTGGCCGCGGCGCGCCCCTGCGCCGCGCGCCGTGCGCGGGGGCATGCCCCCCCCCCCCCCGCCGCGGGGGGGAAGTCATGAAGGGGGCCAAGACCTAGAACGCGAAGTACACGAGGACCTGAGCGCGCCCCCCTCTTCCAACCACTTGCCCAGCCGCCCCGCCCGCCCCCGCCCCCGCGGGCCGCGCGGCGATTCGCGGTGCCCGCGGCGGGGGAAAGGGGGCGGAGAAACGCTGCTAGGTGCGCGTTTTTGCGACAACGAACAAAACTGCGTAGTGATCTGCCCCGCAAAAGACGCTGCCCTAGACAGCGTTGCGGGGGTTGGGGGGATCGCGGGGAGCGCTGCGCATCGGGTAGGCCCGCGCCCGCGGGTCGGGCGCGCGACGCCTTCCTCGCGTCGCCGCGCCCCGCGGGAGCGCGCGGGCGCGGCGACGCCCAAGGCGCTTGCTGCGCCGGCGTGCGAGGGGGCACCCATCGCCGCACTCGCGTGAGGTGCCCAAAATGCTACTGGTTTAGCCTTCATCATTGTCGCTGGACGGCAGGTCTCCGTGCGCTTCCCTGATGGCAGCCGCCTCCAGTTCGTCCTTGTTTAACTAGGACAGGAAAGCCGCATGGCGCCAATCTCTGGCTCGTAGGATGTCTGCCAGTCGCGAACCTCGGACGGCCATGTCCTGCGCGTGACCCCTGCGGAGATCGCGCGTGCGATGCGCGTGATGCCAGGGCGCCCCGAGCTCTTGCAGGGCTGCGCGCTGCGCCGTTAAGACCACGTCTGCGCGGAAATGAGCAAAAGGCTGTCCGGGCTCGACCTCGGCGCAAAACTTCCCCAACGCGTGCACGGGGCACGTTGCTTTGCAGCGCGCGCGCCAACAGGTCCGCGACATCGTGGTCGGCGAGGCGCGTTTCTTGCGCCAGCGCAGAGTAAGCGAAATCGACTTGTCATCAAGCCGCAGGCAGGACTTCGGCTCGTCCGCCTTCGGTGGATCGCTTGCACGAGCGATGTGAATCGGAAGAGCTTCAGGAGGGCAGGCGAAACAATAATATATACGCGGCCAGGAGAAGCATTCACAGCGCGCGCCCTGCAGGCTGGTGGGCGAGATGCTTCAGCAATTTCGCGAGAAGCGCCTCGCGAATGAACATTCTTGGGCGAGCTTGCCGAATATTGCGCGCCTGCGCTGCTGGAGCAGCGCGAGCGACTGCAGGGTCTGCAAAAGCGTCGACCGATACGCGTAACACGATGCACGCTAAGCTTACGTGCGAGGGATCATTGTCGAACGTGCCTTCGCAGCGAAAGCACGCGCTCCGCAGCGCCAAGCCGTCTGGCGCGGATGGGATGATGGACTCCGCGTCGCAGCCGAGCGCTGTCATCGCAAATGTGCCCAACAGCGGAAGCCGCTCATCACGCTGGGCCACGTCTTAGGACAGCTACCCCAAATGGCGGCAATTCTGGCAGAGTTTGACCAATCGCTTATTCCGCGCCGCGCGATCCCCTGCAACTGGGCCTCCACCTCGCG